CCCGGAGTGGAAGAAGCTCCGGGTCTTCGGCAGAGGGTCCTTCACTGGCTGCGGGTGTGTTTGGCGGCACTGAAGGACCTGCCGCCGAAGACCCACCAGAAACTCTCATGGGGGTCCCTGAAAACTCTTGTGGGGGCCCCTACGGGGCCTGGGGCAAATTGCCCCACTTGCCCCCCCCTCCCTCTGGGCGGCCCTGGTAGCGAAACTGATTTAGTTAAATTGGTGCCACCCATTAGCGTGGACACAGTTGTATGAATATAAAGGTATTTATATTGGTCTAGTTTGAGCCTGACCTAAATCTGAGCATAGACCAGGCCATATGAGCAAGTAATCCTTGTTATCACGTATGTGTTTTTCTTCTCTTTGGATTAACACTCTTACTTCAAGTGTTCTCAGAGGATTATGAATAATAAAAGCAGACCTGGTGACATGATACATCATAGTTTCCTCGAAGTTTAAATTTCCAAATTGAGCAAGCATGTGTAGTGCGTGTGAATTCATGCTGCCTCGCTGGGGGTTAATCCATTTCTTAAACATTCAGGGAAATTAGCTGTAATGTTTTGTTTGACGTTTGTTTGCATGTCAGAGGATTCTCTATACCAGCTTCCACATAATTCAGGCTTTGTGGGCCTCACTAGTTAGCAGAGCAGCACCTTGCAGCAGAGCCTGCTGCAATTTAAAGTGAATTAAAATAAGTTCTCTGATGTTTACAGAGACAGACCAAAGTATATTATTATTTATAGAAAGAAACATTAAGGACTCATTTCAGAAATTAAAACTGGTTACTGTTCTGTAACCATAGTAAAAGTATCTTTGTCATTTATTACAGAGTGGGTCGAACTATTGAGTATGAATTGTATTTGTTATGAAGTAAGCCTCATGGTTTAGTGAATCATTAACAAAACTGAGCTCAATTCTCTTTGTATTAGTTATCCATATGTGTATTCACTGATAGTTTGGACAATTATTTTTCATACTATGGGGAGTTTGGAAACTTTTCACTTTGACAATTCAATATTTGTATTGTGTGTTCGGTCACCTAAATAAAATGTTAGTGTTTCGACTCTGTGGATGACAAACATTTTAAATGGGAGAATAATTGACAAATAAATAATACACTTCTGCTACAAATACTCATGAATAATGAATAATATTCATGCTAAAATTCATCTAACTTTCAGGATTCATGTGAGTATTCAGTGATTGTAAGACTACCCAGAAGTGACATAAACCCAGAAACCAAACTTGTCTTTTTTATTTACAAAAATATCCATGAATCAATTTATTTTCCTATTCAGTCACTTCAGTGCTTTGCCATGAGGCAGACCTATGGATCAACTGTTCGGATGAATTGAACTAGGATCCTGTATGATCTTACTAAAGAACAACATAACTGCCAGAATCTCCAGCATAGCTGTTGGTAGAATTTTTTGTTGTTATAAATACATTTAATTCTGTGCTGAAATTCATAAAATATATATAATGAACATTTATTAATTTATTTTTCATGTCTACAATGACAAGATGGAAGAAACTAAGAAATAATTTGCCAGCAATAGATGACAGTCAAAAGATGACTCCAACTTTTGCATGTTGCATTCTTCAGTACAGAGATTATGAAAACTGAAAACAATCAACATAGCAGCTCATTATTCTTATGATTGTGTCTACTTACCGCTAATCAGAAACATTATACTGTACATTTTATAATGGTATGTTTTTTAGTTGATCGTTGCCTGTTAAAGGAATTAGTTGTGAGATTCCTGAGAAAGTCCAGATGAGCATTTTTTTCATTAGCACCAAAACCTCTCCCCATTCCTGAGTTTGTAAACTGCCTCTTGTGATGAGCCCCTGATGTTGCATTTTCCTACTTTGCAAACAGTCTCCTGAACCACAGCCAACATTTCCATTTTGCTCTACAGATTCCATCTTTATTTGATTACTCTCCCATATATCAAATCTAAGTTTAATAAAATACATTTTCTGTTGAGGAAAGATCACTGAGGCCTTGTCTGTACTAGAAGGGGTTTGCTGGTATAGCAATATAGTGGTACAGCTCTGTTGGTAAAACTCTCCAGTGTGGGTGCCACTTAACCTGGCCAACTGGTATAGCTTATGCCAGTTCTTCAAACAAAATAAGTTATACCAGCACAAGGACTTTTTTGCCGGTACGACTGTGTTTGCCCTAGAGCTTCTGCCAAAGTAACTATGTCGGTTAGGGATGTTTTGTTTTCACACTCCTGACAGAGCTAGGCCAGCAACATTTTAAGTGTAGAATGGCCCTGAGTAACAATATTAGGGGCCAGATTCTGCTTTTAATTTATGTGGTTGTATCTCCCTGAGATGAACCTGGGTAACAGAGCAGCATATGGAATTGTCTTTTAGATTCTTCCAGTTATAAACTCATACCTGAAAGAATCTAAGTGCAGAGCTATACTACAAGCTTTTGTCAGCATAGCTAAATTGGTCAGGGTTGTGACAGGGTGGGATCCCGGATTGACACAGCCGTGCCAACAAAAACTGCTAGTGTGGATGTAGATATACTGGCAATTTTATCTTTTGCCAATATAGCTTGTTTTGCTCAGAGAGACTGGAATAAGCTAGACTGCCAAAATTGTTTTTGGTGGTCTAAGCTGCATCCACAGGTGGAGTGCTTCGCCGGTATAATATACAAGTATAGGCATAATGGCAAAGCACTCTTAAGGTATGTCTACATTCCAAAGAAAAACCTGTGGCACCAAATCTTGGAGTCTGAGTCAATTGACTCAGGCTTGCGAGGCTCAGGCTGCGGGGCTAAAAAGAGCAGTGTAGACATTCAGGCTCAGATTGGAGCCTGGGATCTGGGACCCTCCCCACTCCCCGAGTTGCAGAGCGCAGGCTCCAGCCCTAGCTCAAATGTCTTCACTGCAATTTTAGCCTTGCAGCCTGAGTCCATTGATCCAGGCTCTGAGACTTGGTGCTGCAGGTTTTTCTTTGCAGTTTAGACATACCCTTAGTGTAGACTTGACCTAACATGTTGAGACTTTATATTGTATGTAGAAAAAGAGAGAAAATATGGCACCTGATGTTTCTTGGCTAAATCTAATGTAATAGATTTTTAGAGGTACAGACACTAGATAGAGGTACAGACACTATTTTCTTAACCTGTATATTATATAATTTTAACATTAGCTTTAATAAATTTTTTAAATCAGTTCAGAGCCAGTCTAAGGCATGTCAAATAACCAGCTGAATAGTCCTGCCCTCCTTCCCCACACTGTGGGTATTACTTTCTAAAATGCTCCTATGTCCTCCCCCTCCACCCTGAGAGATAAATTGGGGGAGGGACCATCCTTTTCTGTATGTATCCTAATGACAAAACCTTCTAGATTTCCCTGTCATACGATAAAGCTCCTGGCTCCCAAGTAGTAACAACTAACCAAGTGTCCTACTCAAAACTGACATCCTGTACCCCCATAAATATATCCTCTTCTTTGTGGCAGTTATCCTGAGTTCACCATACATCTTGCCTCATGCATGGCCCTATACATTTAGTGCACACCCTGCACCAAATTATCTGATGTGTCTTTTATGGGGGGCTGTAACCTGCGCTTCCCAGTGGAACAGACTCATTCGTCTAGTGATTCTTTCCTACTTTTAAATGCTATAAGAGCCAAATTCTTGCGCCCCAATTACAGCTCAGCTCCACAAGCCCATTGCACACTGCCTTTAATAGGGATGCAGGCGTAGCTGAAGGCAGAAATTGGCCAAATGTTCCTAAGTTAGTTCACAGAAACATGGACAAATGCTGACTTTGTAACCTCACCTTCCCTCTTGTCCCTCCTCCTCACCCACTGCCTCCTGAATGTCAAGAAATGGCGATCTGAATGCACAATTGCAACACACTCTGTGATCCAAGATAGTTGCATGTACCAGGTATTATTTCTTCCATTCAATTTGCAGTACATTTTGCGGGAGCCAGAGAGGAGCAGGATCTTGAACAGGGGCAAGAGGAGCAGAAAGGAATCCAAAGCTGAAGGAGTAAAGGGAAACAAGATCTGTGAGAGCCACTGGTTTGGTAGAAACTTTCTGTCTGACATGAGTGCAGGTACTGTTGGGGCTCAGTGCCTCAAAAGTTTTCTACCTGTCTCTCTGGTATCAATGTGCACGACACCGGCAGCTCCCTGGTGTGAGTGTGTACTCTCGTGCTATCAGGTGCCTCTGACCTGCTCTCTGGTGGAGCAGTTCTATGGGTGCCCACTCTGGGGCCTTGTCTGTAGCCAAAGTTGCATCTGTATTACTTTAAATCGTTTTTTAAGAGATGTAGCTAAACACAGTGTGGTTATATTGCCAGCTCTTGCCATTTCAGGCTGAGTTATGGAATAGTTGGTGTTTTGCTTAAAGTCACTGCTCCTGGCAATACACCTCCACTTTTAAAAAAAGCGAGTTTCTAGCCCTCCTGATTGCGGAGGAAAGCTGGAGGGTGTGACCACAGTGAATCCTAATGGCTCAGAAATGGGAGGCCGTTAAAAAGTTTCAGAGGGGTTGCCTGTGTTAGTCTCTATTAACAAAAACACGGAGAAGTCCGGTGGCACCTTAAAGACTAACAGATTTATTTGGGCATAAGCATTCGTGGGTCGGACTCCTCCTTGTTTCCGTCAACAAATTCTTACTTTTCAAGTCAATGTCATGAGTTCTGGGGGTCTGACTCAACACTGATGACTGCTTGGGGCTGGCAGGGGCACTCTTAAACCAGGCGGCGGCGCCTGTGGCTCAGGCGGACTGAATTAAACTCAATCCACATCAGCCGGGTTTACACCGCATTGCGTGTCTGCCCTGGGGCCGGCCGGCACCGGTGACTTTACACTCACACGGTGCGCTCATTGCCGGAGGGGCTGACCGGCTGCGAACGTGGCCGGGCAGGGTGCGCTGCGCCGGCCGGCCGGCAGGGGGCGAGGCGGGGCGGCGCGCTGGGTTTGTGCCGGGAGGAAATGATGTGCCTGGTGCCTGGTTATTAATTACAGCGCCGGGCGTCCATTGGCAGAGCGGGGAGCAGCCACTTCCTCCTCCCGCTGGCGCCGCAGGAGCAGCATCCCAGCCTAGCCCCGCCTGCCGCCGCTGCTGGGAACTTTGGCTCTCCGGCGTCTCGTCCCTCTGTGAGCTTCCCCCCTCGTCCGCCGCCGAGTCCCCGCGGGCAGGGCTGGGGGATGCGGCCGGGCTTGGCCGAGAGGAAGCGCCGTGATTAGAGCGCCGCGGCGCGGGGAGGTCTCGCCGCCGCCCCATGGCGAGGGCTGCCGGTCTCTAGCGCCCCGGCGCCGCCGCAGCCCCGCGCCTCCTCCCTCCGCGCTGCCATGAGACGGTGAGTGGCCTTGCCGGGCCCCGCTGCGGCGGGCGGCCCTGCGGAGCCCCCCGCGCCGCCTGGGCCGGGAGTTGCCGCTGGCGCAGCGCGGGGAGGTCCTGCCCGCCCCGGGGCGCGGGAGGGGACGCGCTGCCTGCGGGGCCTCGGTCCTGCCTGCTGTGGGGCCCAGGCGGGAAGTCCCAGCTCCCGGCCGTGCGTGTAGGGGAGTCGGTGCGGGCACCTCGCTACCTACCTCCGGCTGGGAGGCGCCTTCAGGGGCGCTGGCAGCCAAAACATGACATCTGCCCTCTGCTTGCCGCGGCCCTCCGCTGGGAGTTCCTGGCCCCTGCTCGACAAGAGAGAGCCAGGAAACTCCTCTCTGAGCTCCCTTCCTTGCTAGCTGCCGTTTGAATAGCTTCAAAGGCAGGAATGTGGGATTCATCTTCTGATGCCCACAAGGCAAATGTGGTTACAGATGTTACACGTTACTTTGCCAAGTTTAAACTCTTCCTTCTGCGCTGTATCCATAGCAGTAAAAAGAGAAGCTTGGGAACCTTTAAATGGATGAAGGAGGGGGGTGATCTGGGTAGGTGAATGCTGCTTTTAAATGGACGAATTGCTATTTTCAGTTCATCTCTGGGTTCTTCTGTCACTGCTTTAAGCACAGAAACACTTTGTAGAAAGGCTGGAGTTCCCACTAGTTTTCAAGCTTCTTTTGTAATGTAGAAATGATTGGTGAACAAGACTGACACTTTCCTGTTGTTTTCAGTTGCCTCATGCTGATTGATTAAACATTACAATGACTATCACACATAAAAAGCTGTTAATTTAGTCCTTTGAAGAATGCAACTATCTTTTGGGGTCTAGTTTAAGTCTCTTTCCTGTTAGCAATGTTAAAACTCTACTAGCAGAGTTTTTTAAAACATCATATGAGCCAAAAATAGAACTTGTTTCAAAATTGCTTTTCTATGTTTTATAAATATCTTAAAAAGTATTTATCAAACATGCTTTAAAGTACACAACTATTTTTCCAAAATATAGTCCAAACGTTACAAAGCTGTTCCTGTCATGTGCTTACGATGAATAATCAACACTCCCTTTCTAAATGCATTGAAGTCATAGGACCAACTTGAAAATGGTTGAGGTATGTGATTTCATGGTGGAAAAACCCTGTGAGATAAATAGATATTACCAGGACTTTTGGGATGTGTGTTGATAACTGAAATCAAAACAAACGGAAAATATCACAGTTCAGAAATGTAGAACATGGCCTGTTGAGTGTTCCACACACCTGTGTGGAAGACAGCTACATACAGCCTTGATTCCTGATCTCTCTCAAACTAGCAAGTGCTTTAGATGTAGTTTGCTCAGCTCTGTAAGACAAGAATGTCTTGTAATGCTCAACAGCAATCCCATTAGTCTGATGGAGAGTGGTATTAACACAGGCCTGGTCTACACTGGGGGGATCGATCTTATGCAACTTCAGCTATGTGAATAACTGTGAATAATGTAGTTGAAGTTGATGTACTTAAACCGACACCGTGGTGAGTCAACTGCTGCCCCTCCCCGATCGACTCTGCCTGCACCTCTCGCGGCGGTGGAGTACAGGAGTCGACGGGAGAGTGCTTGGGGGGGTCGATTTATCGCATCTAGATAAATTGACACCCCCCCTCCCCCGTGGATTGATCGCTGCCTGCCGATTCTGCAGATAGTATAGACATACGCACAGTCTAAGGAGTCTTGTCTGGTCTAGTCCTCAGCCTTGAGAAAATTATCTTCCAGTCATCTTTCTCCTCCCCCCAACTCTGAAAATTGTGGAGAAATGGGTATTTTAAAAGTGAGGACGGAAAATGGCTCAATTGTTGAGACTGTAAATAATTTTACTGCTCAGGGGCAGGAAAAAGTTAAGTGACATAACAAACTGTGTGGTGTTTGGTTTTGCCTTTAAAAAAACAAACAAACAAACAAAAAAACTTCTCTCGTTGTATCCATTTAGGATACAGCCTCTTATTTTGATAATTGTCTCAATTTGGAGATTGCAGGGGGCAGAGGGAGGAGGGGAAGCTCTTGCTAATAACCGAGCCCCAATGACTCTGCCTTCCAAACAGAAGAATACTAGGTATCAAATTCCACCCTATTTCTCTTACAGCTCTTGTTGTTTAGTATTTATATACAAACAACCATATATCTGAATCACTGAGTCTGGAAGAAATTTTCTGGACTACATACAGTGCAGTCATCATGGAAGACATTTATAATGGTTAATATTTTTCTCATTCCCTGGTATATGAGAAAGAAGGCAACACTGAAAGCCAGTGTAGCAAAAGCCAGTTTAGAGAAGGCTGAAGTTTTGACAGGAAACTGATGAAGTCAGAGGCCAGAAATCCTGTGTGCATTTGAATCTCTTGAGGCTATTTCATTCATTGCTGATTTGGTGGTGTTTAGTCAATGCATTTCTGGGAGACTAAATCAAACCACCTATTTTATGTAGTATTAATGGGCTCATATCTATGTACGAACAACATTTGGAAAGATCATTAAGTGGTCCGCTAAGACCCACAGCAATTTTCAAGTGGTCTGTCAGCTTGAGAACCACTGATCTATTTACAGCAGTACCTTTTTTATAGTAAACTGGAAGAAGAACGCTTCATGTCCCTGTAGGCATACCCTGCTTAAACCTACTGAAGACTGTGGGCTTGTACAGCTATCACTGAGGGCATAATCTGTCCTAGAGAACTTTTTGTTATTTGTGATGATGCAGGATATAGAAACTTTCAAATTCCAGGCTAAGTTTGACGGGCTGGCAGTTATTAGGGAAACATTTTTTTCACCCTAAAGTGAGCATTCTTGATACAGAGTCACTAAGATTTCCAAGTGGAACCATACTTTCAAATCAGCAAAGATTGTCCATTTTTGTGACCTGCATTGAGACACTTCTGTGGCCCCCCAATCTTCCAACTAGGAAAAATCCTGTTCTTGCAAAGGTTGAAGCAATTTGCTTATGATCAGTGACACATTTAGATGTCTCTCTTTTCAGTTTTCATTTCTATGTCCTGTAGCCTTGAACTAGGCCCTATGCTTCTTATCCATGGAGGCTGTAGTGACCATATCAAATATTTTATAAATGCCCTCCAAGTACCATCTGTAAAGATCTAATGTTGTTTGAGAATAATGCTCTTCCCAAGAAGGGTATGAAATTGAAGGCAGTAAAAAGGCCAAGCACCCAAATGAAGCTACCTGCAAATGCATTGATGCTTCCCTGGATGGTTCTAACATATATTTAGACATTACGAATTAGAGTCTGTTTTTTAGGAGAACAGATTCTCCAAAATGAAAGTAACCCACCTCATCCCCTACATTTGAACAAACTGATGTGTTCCATACTGTTGTTTTGAGTCACTTGGACCCCACCTCAATGTACCTTGTTAGTATGAAAAACACTTGTGTTATAATTAACTTCATAAAGGGCCCTTGGCATGCCATATACTTTGGGAATTGCCTGTTGACCCAGATGGCCCAAGATTTATGGGTAGTCCTTGCTTGTAGTTCTTCCCACTACTCATATGCCCTTTTGTAACCTAATGACAAAGTGGTCTCTTCCCCTCTGTCTCCATTTCAGGACATACTTCAAGGCATACTACAGTGACTGAGATAATTTTTGCAGCCATTTCACTGTCTACATCATCAGTCTTTGTGATGAACTGTAGTCTGTCCAAAAATATAGAAGGTGGGGCTGTTTATTTAAAAAAAAAATGCTTGGGAGAAGGGAACCATTTATCTGTGTTTAATTATAATTCATGTAAATATAGCACACTTCAAAGTTAGAAGCAGAGAAATGGAAATCCTGTTTGGATATTATTGGTATTGGCAGTACCAGTCGCTTTCAGTTGTATCAGCTGCTCTATTTTATAGGGCACTCCAATGGCAGTCTCCTTGTATTTTCACTCTATTCTTTATAAATAGGCATGGCAGAACTTGATTTTTATTGTTTTTATAATTTTGATGGATAATATTGATGTTTTTAAGCACTCTTGCAGTTTTTATCAATATAAATCTTCACAGTTGCCCACAGTTTTGGTGGTTCTGCCTTTTTTAGGTTTTTATTGACTTAAATTTTGGCAGTTGTGGGAAGTTATGGATGGGAGTGGTGGTCAGACAATTATTTAATGGTGTTAGATGTTGAGACTCAAAGCTTTAATGGTTAAAATACAAATTGTCAACATCACATGCCAAAATGTATGAAATAAATAGCCTTAAATCATACTCAAATTCTCAAGCAACTTTTTTTTTTTACTTGGCCTATCTGTAAATTTCAGTTATAATTGTGGGAATATTTTTTTCATTGTATGTGGTGAACTTGACACTTACTGACATGCTTATAAGTTTAATTCTTCCAAGCCTATTTATAATCTACATTACAACAGTCATCATTAACACCTTTCTAATTTTGCTTTTGTGAAAATGTAACCATCGTATTTCCTTCATTTTTATGTTTTTTATAAGGAATATAGCAGCATATTGGTTGCTTTGCCTTTGCAAATGAATCATGTTACCTAGTGTTTGTTACTTAGTATATGGAATAGTGTAGTCACATTAATTACTTACAAAGGGATTTGTAACGGTTTTAATAGTGACCACAGAAGTTCAGTCTGTGTCTCTGCAGACCTTTCTCAGAGCATTTTTAGCTATATTATTTCCTGAAGCTAGTTATTAACAAACTTCCCCTTTAATACAAAACACATTCCTCCTATTTGTGTATCAACTATAATTCTTGATGTTCTGATGACTGTTTTTGTGCTGCTGTCTAGCCTGATATGTCAAGTTGGTTAAGATTCTTCCCCCCCCCTCCCCGCCCCCTTTTTTTCCCCCCCAGGCTGTCTGTCCATCCAAATAAGATAGCCAGGTGCTTTTAGGAAATTGGAGAAGTGACCTGCTCTTTCTTAGCAGTTGAGAAGCTCTTGGGGGTAGGAGGACTTGGAAAAGCCTCTTCTTCCTTTCAGTGGGAACAGTGGCAGAGTGGA